TAACAAATTTGCAACTTGAGTTCTGTATACAGAAATCACTAATTTTTGTCCCCTTGTAGTAGTTTATTACTATATTAGCCATCTGAGAAGATGCTTACATTTCCTAAAAATTCAAATATGGCACTGAAAATGTTGGACCATTATAGAAAACGCTTAGAATTTTGCGGACTAGTCTTACAGGGTTTGTACACAGAAAACCTTTGATGTCCGCATATGGAACCCTTTCCAAAAATATTAAAAAAAAAAAAGTTTGCCCCCTTTTCCTGTAAAATTGCCTCTAGCACCGGATCCATCCTTGGCCTTGGGCATGTTGGGTGCACCAGGCCTGCCCGGTAACACGAACGGGGTCTTCACGTTTGCGACGTGCCAGCCCCAACACGCTCCGTCAATCAGAGCATGGAGGAACCTTCCTCTATCACAGCACACATCCCTCACTGATGGACACAGAATAAAATGAAGTACAGTGCAAGCGATCTGAAATTTTCATGAGGTACCCCTGCTAGTAGGTGTCCTTTCTTTATGGTCTCAGTAACGCAATCGAAAACCTAATATTGCTTACCAGCCGGTCACACAAGCGCCAAGAAATTCAGCTACAATCCTGACCGTGTACCTGCAATTGACAAATTAATATGCTGTCGTACATGTACATGTACATACAGGGAGCACTGCACAGAGCGTTGGAAATAGAATACCGAAGCGTGACGTCACTGTGAACCGGAATGTGCAGTGCAAACGAATGGAGTACGCGCGTGTTGGTTCACGCGCTGATGCCTTTTACACACTAATTGTGCGCGTGACGTTCACTTCGGTACTCTATTCTGCTGCTGGCCGCGTAATATGCTCATTTCAGCTAAATCAATGCAGAGTGGAAAACGGAATGTATATTTGAGTGCCCCAGTTTTTGTCATTTTTAATCTTGCAAAACTGGTCATTAGCCCCCCCCCGACTAAAGAGGTAACGCTCTTTTTTATTGCGCTGACCCTATTTTTTGGAATTTCGAATTATAAATTGGGAAAAAATGTGACTTTTTACTGATAAATACCAGCCATGCAAATTCGAATCCACCATGTGTCATGTGTTGTGTCAAAACATTCAGTTCCTCTTATTCCTTCAAAACTCAAACCCTGGCCCTCTTTTTACAGCATCAACTGGTGTCACAAGTCATCTCAATAACATGTAGCCTATAGGTACGTCTCCCTTCTTTGGGAACGGGGCCCCAAAGTACACATACACCAGTCATGGCGGGGGGGGGCATTCTTGTCTTTTTGCCAGCTCCCACGTTTATTCCCTGCAGAACAATCGTGTAGAGCCGTCTGTGTGTGTCAGTGAATACATACCCGTGAACTCTAGTATGTGGCCCTTGCAATTTCCACACGTCAAGTGCAGTGCATTACATGTGCCGGGTCAAAGATACTGGTACTTTAGAGGAACATGCGCGCAATGAATTATATTCAGCCCAACGTGTTTTCTTTTGTAGTGGGACGCCACAAGGAGGCCCGGTCCCATTGTGAAACGGAACGAGCACCGGCACGGTACATGCAAAAAGACCAAGACAGACTCAGCTGGATGTTTGTAGCCTTGATTTATTGGTGACCAGCAACTGTCACAGGCATCCTTACAATACAGATCGTGGAGTGACAAAAACCCCCATTGCTGAAATAACAAAATAATGAGAGCTTCCAGTGATCAACCTGTATCTACATACACACACTTTACACGTACAGTACATTCACAGACTGTAGCAAACACATGTATCGTTGCTGACATAGGATACTTAATTTTAAAAGTGAACGGCAATGTCCTTAAAAATAACACATCAATATCACCAACAAACTCAAGAAGTACATGTACTCACTGGGGGTTTCCGTATAAACTGTACTACACAATCGCCATGGATTTTGGCTACATAGACGTGGAAATGGATGCTACTGACATCAAAATATACCAATGCTCTCCGCGTCCCTCTAAAACTCCTACTCCACGGGCCAACCCAGTCAAAGTCTGTGACCGTCTCTTATACTGTTTTGTTTGTATTCATACGCAAAGAGCTACTTACCAAGTAAATTATAGTACAAGTAACGTGAGCTTCAATCTACATATAAATATCACATAATACAAGGGGTTGTTATTATTGTACATAACAATAATTTTGATGCATTCAGTCAGTTGTCTAAAATAATCTTTGGACTTATTTTCCTGGTGGAAGTCTACCAAGTACAACCAGTTCTGCGCGTGAGGTCGCCCTTGCTAAAGCACGGTCTCCTACACGTCCAAATTGCAATATCTTACTAAAATGCAAACAAGATTTGAATAGTCCTCTTCATTGGAAGTGACAGTAGTAACTTTCCATACTTAGAAAATCCATTCATTTTTTTCTAAGAGCCAAAAAATGTAAAAAAAATTGCCTTCAAAATTACCTACTAACCGAGATTTGGAGAAATTTTGGCCATCTCTATTCGTTTCTTGCATGGAGGAAGTTCTTGGTTGAAACCATGTATGGTTGATATTTTGAGTATACGCATAAGACAAAACGGAAAGATTAAATGAGAAAGGAGTTGACCCTTCCAATCCAAAAGAGTATCCTGTGAAGTGATTCCACTACAACATCTCGCTGGCTGAAGTCCAACTCCTGCAGATACAAGGTGTTTGTCACGATATGAGTAGCGGAGATACAGTCCCTCGACAATACAGATAACTGGTGTTGCGTCGACACAGCCAACGACCCCGCTGATGACATCACCCGGGTGAGACCAAGGCCAGATGTCTCTAATGAACCAAAATGGACAAACGGCCCATCCTTTCCATCCTTACCTCCTTACTGATGGCCGGGCAGCAAATCCTCTGGTTGATGACCCAGAAGATACCAGAGAACTGATGGAGCAACCGTCTGTGGAGCGATCACTGTGCAAGTTGATCCCCAGTTGCCAAACCCTAAACAATACTGCAGCTGGAATTATCTCACCGCACTACCAAACAGCATCATGACAGAACAGCTACTGATGCCACACCTCCTTCAAGGTTGGTTGGGAGGGAAGAAGCCATCGAGACAAAACTCTTGCTTCAGGTTGGACTATACTGCTTCCCACACGAAGTCCATGCTCAGATGCACAATAGGCAGTTACCCTCTGGAAGCACAGCGCAGCTCAGTCCTGAAAATGATGAAACTTCCCCACTGCTCACAGTGGGGAGGGGGGCAAGCAGAAGACCTTCTGCCCGAAGTTAAGCACCCAATCATTCTTGATCTGAAGCATCATGTCAGCAAGCTTCTCATCCAAGACTATGATCAGTGGCTTCTTCACCCTGGGCTGGAACGTGTTCTATGCTGAAATGCCACTGAAATTCTGGATCCTGCAAGGCTGAGAGGCTGTTCGTCTGCACCAGCGTCAGTTCAACGATGCAAAAAGTGGCGAAGTAAACCAACAGTTCCCAATATGGCAGACCTGCCCCCTGCCAGTCGCCATCTTTCCAAACAGCCTTTTTCTCAACTGGCGTTGATTGCTTTGGACTAATGACGCTAAAGATTGCTTGTTGCATAGAGAAGCGATATAGGAAGTCATATTCAAGTGCATGACCATACATACTGTACACTTGGATTTGCTGAAGAGCTTAGACACAGATGCGTTCCGGATGGCCTTTAATTAAAGGGGTAAACGTTGTGAACCAACTTCAAGAGTGCAGAATCAGAACTGCAGAGTGCCTTTGCTTCTCTGGCTCCAGATCTAAGCCAACAGCTTTCCAGCCAGAGGGTTGTGCAAATGCTCCCCTATGGCTCCTTTGAGACAGCGGTGAAGTCAGCCAAGGCTGGACTTAGACCTTCTTGGAGAGACCAGTTGGTTACAGAACCAGTACTTTGAACCGTCGTAGCTGAAGTCCATTTGATTCTCAACCCAGAACCCTTAGGTTAGGTCTCTTCAGATGCCACTGACGTTGATTTGAAGACCCCGAACACGCTGTTGATGGGGCGTCATTTTCACCCCCAATAAATCCATGGGCGACGACGATGGCACCATAGTCAGTTGCTTCCTGAGCAGTTTGGGACTCACTTTGTCAAGTCCTACCGTCCTCGCCTTCAGAGTCGGCAAAAGTGACTGAAAAAAAGAGCTAGCTGCGGAGACGTCGTTATGGTTCTCGACTCCCAACTGATTAGGGATCAGTGGTCGGTGGGGAAAGTATGTGAGACACATCCTGGAACCAACTGGCGTGTGATGAGAGCAGCCAAAGTCCGAGTCCACGACAAGATGTAAACTAGACCCTGTCAGAACGAGGACAACTGCCTCTCTGATGGTCACCAGACACTGAACACTGACTTAAGACTTTCTTGGTTTCACACCTACTACTTGAATGGTCTCAGCTCCATTCTTAAATATTAAATCACAGTTTCTCCAATATTGCCGTTCCAAACTTATTCAGGTCAATTGTAAGTCGTCAGTCCCTGTTTTGTTGGGTTGTTTGTTTGTTTGTTTGTTTGTTTGTTTGTTTGTTTGTTTGTTTGTTTGTTATCTGAGCGTCATAACGCGGACAGTTTTCTTCTTGAGCATCCTGCTCATCAGTTCAATCACTGCCACAAAGTCCAAAAAGGGAGCTTTATACCCCCATCCTCGCGATTTATGACCACACGTGTGTACATGAGCAGGATAGGACCTCAATCCAAAGACTTTTTGAGATCAAGTTAAGTGTAAGTGCATTATTATATTGGCAAGGACTTAACTTTAAATTCTCAAATCACAAAGCATCATGGAATCAAAATTTTTGCTCCGACTTCAAGGAACAAGGAACTTCAAGGAGGCATATCAGAGGCAAATGCCTTATGCCACTGGTCGTTGCCCTTGATGCCTATTGAAACGTGTTCCCAAAGACCAGTTGATTTTCTGATACAATTAGTGTCATTTTCAAAGCGGAAATTGCGTTGCCCTTTCAAGAACGAATAACGTTCGTTAAGGATGAAATAAAAAGTTTAGTACCAGTAAACGGAGAAAATAAATGGAATCACACAGTACGAATAAAACAAAAGGAGTATTTTATATTATTGGTATCATATAATATTAATATCAATAACGATTTATGATTAACACCAAACATGAAACGGAAAAGTGGCAGCTTTAAAAGCACCTTCAACTGTTCCGAACGGTGTGCTATGCATTACGCCATTAGTGTGCTGAACAGGCAAAAGCAATGTCTTCATGTGTGTGAGGTGGTAACAGTCGTCATTATTCAAATTTCTTTGTCTTTATTTTCTTTTGAGATGAATATGTTTTTCTAATAAAGGGGTATCATAAGAGGGATTGACAAGCTTTAAAAAAGCTTCGAATACAGTGCCTTTCTAAGGATGTCTTGTGTTGAAAAGACCTACATCTGACTATTATTACTTTTTTTCAAACCAGACGGTCTATGGACCAAGAAGGTGATTTTTCAATCAATTTCCAACCGCCCCTCGAACAGTCTCTCAACAAGTGAAATGTACGTTATAGCTTCTCAAATCTGATCAAATTTACACCCCCTTTCCGGGAGATTTGAGAAACAAAGCTGTGCAGAGTGACATTGGTGTAGGCCAACGGAAAATCACAATTCTGTTCATATGGGAAAAGGGACAAACAAATTGCAAATTCAGAGCCTCGTTGTATTTGAAAAAAAATACTGAGTATTGTGTGCGTTTTACCATATCATAAATAAAAAATCAGTTAATGAGCCGTATGTGTCCAAATAATCAAACAATATCAAACCAGCAAGTATATATTATCGTAGTTTTTTTTATGAAATATGGTTTAACAATGTATATAAACTTGTTTGTGAATTAGATTCCTTTCTAAACACTCTCTTGCTATCACTTAGTAAACACGTATAATTTTATAAGCTAAAATATTTACAAAAGTTTGATGGATAGTAGCAGTTGAACATCGATGTATGTATCCCGTACTCAGAATCTAAAAATGTTTACGAAACGGCAGCAAGATAAAACACAGTTTTCAAGTGTACAATATGAAATAAATGAAAAGAAAAATCCTTTAAAAGCTTGTTCTTGAAAGCGAAAGTCACACTCAGAGTTCAGACCGGAATGATAACAATAGTTTTCATTACGTTGCTTTTACCTCAGCAGAATTAATTTCAAATGATTGTATTCAATCTTAAGAACCTACAATAAAACTAAAATAAAACGAGGAAAACAGTTACACGAGGGTCATTTTTAAATAAGGTATCCGAAGGTGTAACTTTTTGTTCCCATTTCATGTGGCTTGTGTAATTTTTACACGGAAGTTTTAAACTTGACTTTGAAATATTTTCATTTGTTTGGCAGGTCATCTGCATCGCTTAATTAATAACCCTTGGAAATTTAAGAATGTGACAGGAACACAAAAGAATTGTACCCTATTTTTTAGAATGACCCACATGTCAGACAATTGGCATGACACCACTTACGTCATTGTGTGATCGTATCCGCAGTCTTCCACAAGCGACTTTCAAGAGTTTAAATTTTCCATGGCGAAATTGATCTTTTTTTTCATATGGCATTTGCAAAATAGTATAATTTTTAATAATGTTAATGTGGGCCTTCTTATTTCTGGTATCACCCTGTCGGGAAGTTGAGTGTTTTATTACGTAGGTATGGTCGAGGCGTCTGGCCTTGGGAAAACTTGAGACGTCGCAGATGCTAGAAGGTTAGGCTAAGGCAGCATTTCTGCCCCTGTTGGCGGGACAGACGTATCAATCCCCACACTGCGGTTTTGGAATTGATACGGTGATGTTTTTTTCATAATGATTTATTTCATCTAATATTTTTATTTGCTAAAGTCTCCGTATTTTAAGTTGATTCCGTTATGCGCCTTTGATCATATGCATGAAATTGGCGCATGATAAATGTTTACTATTATTAGTGCAAAGCGCTTGATCTTTTAAAAGCTTCAAAACTTTGCTCTGTGGTGTATATAGTGATGTGAAATTACTGTTCGTTTGCATATGCGTTTAGATATACGGTGGAGTGAAAGGAATAAGCGTGAACTAACCTGTGAGGAAATGACATCAGATGTCGGCAAAATGGTCCAGGACAAGCACTGTAATAACCGAAGGCTATTATAAACAAGTCTTTGTGTTAATTGTAGACATCTAACCCTTCACAATAAAACACGTTTTGGGGGGGAAATAAATGTGTTTTGGTGTTCAAGAGTGTTACCACACGATAAAAGTGTTTTGGTGTCTTGTTATTAACACCTAAATTTTTCATTGTGGCTAAAATTTATAAACACACCAACAAGTATTTGTGGAAAAAATAAACCAACAACGTGGTTTAGCTTCATATTAGTAACGCCAAACAATTTCCTAAAGTGTTACCAGGAAAGCGTTTGTAAGGCATTAAACGTTACGACTTGTTTTTACAGTGTGAATCCTCAGTAGTAGCTGAGATTGTTGCATCTGCATCATTGTTGAAAACAATGCCAGAGCGCCCTCCTCGGTACCAACTACAGTTTTGAAATCCCCAGTTGAGCGAGTTCCCGCCATTTGCCTATTTCGATTGCCGGCTGGAAGTCCGGATCCGTCACAGCCGGACGGTCGAGGGAGAACGATTTAATATCGAAGCTGGTCCAGCCATCAATTACCAGTTCGGCAAGAATTTTCCCCAGGACACTTGCAAATCTGAAAAAAAAATTAAAGAACTAATCATGCTGTAGGCCACTTGGATCCATTCAAATGTATCTTTCCATTTTCTGTCCGTCGTACATGGGCAAGGCTGATTAAACAATATAGTGTCCCAGTAGGTAGGGGTTTCTTCAGCATACAACTGGTTGACATTTCACTTTTTACACTGTAATTTCTTTCGGACCTTGTAAATGCTGTATATCGTACAGCAACTGGACATGAATTGTAAGTCAGTTCTGGGCAGACACGAGTTTATATTTACAAATCCCAGGAAATCCCTGCATCATTTTTTCTCCAAATATAAAGAATTGAAATCAACAGGGAGGATGTTTTGGCATGCCCCGTGTCCATTTAATACGTGGTCTTTAGGCCTCAGCGTCTGTTCAGCGTTTAATCGTTTAGACTATGCAGAATGCCTATTGTACTTTTTTTCAAATTGTACAATTGGACCTCTTCCATGGTTTCATCCTTCTTATGGACGATTTTTCCCACGAGCCATTTTTTTCTTTTTAGCGAAACTATCTCGACAGGACTTTTCTTGTGAACAGTCCGGAGGCAACCGAATGATAACTCACTTGAATGCGTGTCCTGCACCGTAACACACAATGACTTCTGGGAACCCAGTGCGGTGGCACGTGTCAATCACGAAATGGCGGTCCAGAGTCATTGCATATAAGCAGGTCTTCGTCTTCAAAATCGGGCCTAGGTACTGCAAGAGACGTTTTCAAAAGAATCGTGACATTGTGAGCACAAAGTGTTGCAAAGAAAATGACGTATAAAAACACTTTTTCATTTATGGGCCCTTTTTAGTCAGTTTGGTACGATTATTTCCGTTCCATCTAGGCAAAAGCATTTAGTCTTTGCAATAACCTTGAGAGTCAAAACCAAACAAAAATCGACTACTTGCACGTTGGTGTTGTTACCCTGAAACTGTTGGTTTTCGAGCTGCTGTTGGAATTGTTCAGTTATTTGTATATGTTCATTTTAATGAAAGTTTTTGGTTGTGTTTACACCATAATGCCCTGTATTCTCTAAATACCCGGATAAAACTATCAACGAATAAAATCAAAAGTGGAGTCGTAGAACAGCCAGTACGAATGAAAGTTGTAGTTATAGCCAGTTTCGAATTTAGTGACACGAGTGCAGGCATTTTAGAAATTGATGCGAGTCGAGTTGAGTCTTTACATCGTATGATCATTACTTCGAGTCGGTAACACACGTATCTTGCCACAGTGTTTAGGATTAAACATAAATAAATAGTTATGAGCTTAAAGTCAGACGCCAGTTTCCTGCAAAAGTCTGGAGTCGAATTATTAACTGGAATCATCACAACTCCCGCTTTCATTGCAGCAGCAGCTGCGGTTAGTGCTATTTTCTTCATATGCAGCTACATGCAGTAAGCACTAGAATGTGTGTTCTTTTTGATACACTGACATCTGTGTATCAGGTTTGTTACAAATAGTCCTTACAGGCAACAAAATGGCAACGCTGTGTGTAATGATTGTGCATGCACAGGGCTCATTGGACAGTAACCAGTAATTATACACAGCGCCCTCTGTTGACCAGTGCACACGCACATGCTGGTGGACTCTCGTAGGTAGCCACCATGTATGTACATGACACATTACCAGTAGCTGGCTTGGTACACTCAAGTGTTGTTTTTTTTTTTTTAATTAAATCCATACCACCTAAGCATTACACTGGTTCTCTGCTTTCCCCCAATCGTGCTTGGGTTTATAAAGTACGAAATGGTAGTTCTTCATGCGAGTCGTATAGAGGCCTTCCAGTAGTTGTTAGGAAAAGTATAGCTATCCCATTTGAGAATTAGTCGATAGCCTACGTCCGTGTTAAAGGCCTAGTCTACAAATTTAAACAGACTGTCTTATCTTGTGTTGATGCGTACCCCCGGTAAATACGTCTGACACATCTTGATGCACTTCTCAATGTTCTTTTGATTTGGGACGAATGAGCGGGTGTGCGCTGTGACAACATCCCCCGCAGCGTCAATGCCAATCTTCGGGCCTGCAGCACCGTGAATGGGCAAACCATAATACACTTCTCCTTCCGGTGAAAAAAAGGTCCAACAGGGAAATCTGTCAAGAATCACACCAGTCACGGAGTTAGGGAAACGGGAAGATGTAATGGACTGCAAGTAGGTTCCCCTGAATACAGACAGGCATACCAAAGCAAACGCAAAGACCGTATATGGGTTCTTGGCCTTACGCGCGTTCGCCAATCAATCGGGGCAACGGTCCAACGGAAAGTCTTCGCTCGTCGCCCAGCGCCAGAACAGGGCGCCAGGAAGGGCTGATGGCTTTGTACTGTGATTGGCCACATTGTGCAAGAGATTATCGCTCCCTGTTAGCAAAGCTTCATTTAAATTCTTTAATTCGACAATGGCGATGCTTTGACACGGACAGGTGTCGGCTATAATGGTGAAAATGACCTTGGAACAACCAAAGTGTGTAATTTATCTTTTAAGTATCACTGATCAGGGGTCTTTTGCTGATACATTTCAAATCATTGGCAATCTTGATCAATTTGGCATGAACAAGTAAAGTGTAGTGAGAATATTTTCAGCAAAGGGGAAGAAAAAGAGAAAAACATTAATTGATAACCGTCGCTTGTGTAACGTATTAAGCGAGCTCGCGCGCCTGGCAAAATTTACCCACAATACTCTGCACGTCGTTAGCTGTGACCCCGTGTGACGTATTTCCTTCACTAAAATCTGTGCATGGCCATCAGTTCTTCCCAGGGCCCTGTTCATGCGCTGGGCTACGAGCGGACGCCAAATCGACAGCATCAACCTCATTCTCAGAGAGCCGATCAGTGTGCCACCGCGGCTACAGGGTCTTTTGTGTGCCCAGGCCAGATGTCCGACGATTTACGAGTCGAGTGTAAAGTGCCAATTACGGATAGCTGCGTGTGCCTTCCTGTGTGTTAATTCTAGCGCTCATTTTTGTATGTGGTATCTGGTTTCATATGCTGGACGTTTTTAGGGAACTAAAGTTGAAGTAAAAATCCTTATTCAGCCTTTCTGCAATATAACATTAAATATAGATGTGAACCAAATGTTTATGAGGTCGTTATTACGGGAATATTCACATGGTGTGTTAGAATACGTAGTTAGAATGTAGATTGAATAACTCCCAGACAAGATGGCAATTAGTTACGTTCTGTTGCAGTATCAAAATAAGGCAGGGGAAGAAAGTGGCTCAACCATGAGTTCCCATTTCACCTAAATTCACAATTAAAGTTATTCCTAGGAACGAAATCGTGTTTTTTAGTCAAGAAAGGAACTCCTATTAAAGTATCATTTTTTTATCGTACATTTATGAGCGTAAGTCTCTTAACGTGAGTTTTTGGCACACTTTAATGTAATGTCTGTTCCCCAGAAGTGCATTGAAATGATAGCACACTTTTCACGACATCTTTGAAACACAGTTGGGTTTTACCGGTCTTTTGTGAAGTCCTGTAAGTGTGGCGTAGCGAAGTAGGTGACCTGTTCTTGGGTCACGCGGAGAGGGACGTTCACGCCGACGGATTGCAGCACGTCGTTGGCCCAGGCCCCAGCCGTTACAACCACCCGACGACTTCGGAAATTCCCACGGTTAGTTTGAACCTTCTCGAAGAAAAACAAAAGAGAGGTCAGTCGATGTAAATCTACAGAGCGCTAAACGTGCCAACCTCTTTGTCGACGTCCTAAATTTATTCCCAGTGAGATTACATGAAATGATCGCAGGCAAAATCCCGACATCCTGATCACATAGGATCAAACGATACCGACATTCTATTGGCTGAGTGATGATATCCTGCTATTACAGCCAAATTTTATCAGGGTCTCAAGATATCCTGAAAGTGTTATGATAATAATTATCTCAGTCGATAGTCACTGTGCGTCCTTTGACAAGCAAGCCCAGGTTAGTTCTAACCATCCCATTACAGGCAAACCCATCACTGGGTCCAATTTGAGAGAAAACATTTCTTTGTGTAAAAGGAGTGATTCCCGGAGCTGTCTCTAGAGGGGCGACATAAGTGTCTTAATTGTTGGAACCAAAATGGCGGATTATAGTTCGTACACATAGACAATTAACACACAATACATGTAGCTGTATTCCTGTAATGTATACACAAACAGCCATATGAGTTCCAAAGTCTGGCGCTACTCTCTATATGCAGCTCTGGCTATTCCCAATGCCGGGCGCCACCGAATCGTTTTCACTAAAAGGCCTTTTAAAGTGCATTGTGAGAAAGCGGTGACTAAAAACTCTTTGCTTGTGTTGAAGATTCGGAAGTGTTTTAAGAGAGTAGGCCTATTTGTGTTAATTAATATAAAATGGCATTCTTTACGAGGTATGGAGTGACCCGATAACTCACAGGATTCCTCAAATTACCGGTATCTACCCACAAAGTCTCAACGCAAGTCGCAGCGTGTCGGCCGTTGTTCCTTCTATCGTAAATGTGAAAATCGGCACCTCACTGACAACTTCTTGGTGACGCACTGCATTTGTGTGGATGGCGTAAGACGCAATGAGAAAACCGATGCATTTTAAACCATTTACGATCGGTCACGTGGTGGGATATCAACCAACAGGAATTTCTGAACAGTCTCAGGTATTTATGAAAGTGAACGTGTCTTGAGCGGGAGAAAGAGCGCGCAAACCACACACACATGCGTATGCCATTCGTACTGCACTTCCTGGTTCAAACTGATTTCACACTTTGGTACTCATGTCTGAGTTGAGAGCGGACTATGCATAAACACTCATTTCAGACGTGCCGTCTTACCAGTGGGAGTCCTCTGTACTTGGTAATACCAGTCACCTTTACCTCCTCCAGAATAGTGGCGCCATGTTTCCTCGCTAGCTGTATATTAGTTGCATTCGCTAGCGCCGCATCGAGGACACCATTATCGGGAATAAAAATTGCCTGACAGTCGGACGTTGTTGTGAACTGTGGATACCGTTTCTTTAGCAGATCTCCGTCTAGTCTCTCGTAACTGGGAAAAAAACAAGAATGACCTCATCTTGACTCACAAGTACTGGCACACCTATTCCCCATGTATGAAATTATCAGTTCATCTGTGAAGTTTCAGTTTGGTTGAACGTGGATCTTGTTTTCACGACCACCCATAGTTCACACTTCAAGGAGTGACCTCGTGCCACCCGGGTTTTTTTCAGTGGCCACCTTAAATTCGAAGATTGGCATCTCAACATCACCAAAAACGTGAAATGAAAAGTTCCTAAAGGCTAAACACGGTAAACGATCCTTCTTAATATAACTCCCTCTAGGTCCATTGCATATTAGATTATTCAAGAAAAAAAACCCAAACACGGATAAAGCCATCACAAACTCACGATCAAACTTGTACAATGCACAATAATTTACTGGACCCCAAAGCTGGATCCAATGCATTACTTTCTCCCCGACGTATGTAAAGTGACTCTCGTCGTGCGGTTATTTCAATATCACACATTTTCTGAATGCATTTCAGAAAGTTTAATACCTGACGCCATGTTTATTCATTGCCTCCTCAAATTTGGCAATATACCCCTCGGCAGTAGGGCTCCCTTCAGTAAACGAGACTCCACCTGTTTTGTGAATCAGTCGGTGACCCGATTCCCTCTCGACCTCTTCCCAACATGAGTAAGCTCCGCGGCACAGGTCAATGTATTCACCGTCAACGTAGTCCATACGACTGTAAAAAGTTAACACACTGACACTATACAACGTAAACTTGGGAACAACATAGACTGAAGATTACAACTTTGCCTCTTCAATGGAGGGGCTATGAGGAATAGGAGCTTTCAAACTACTTGCATGTACGCTATGTTCACTGCGTGCATGTTCACCCACATGTGGATCTCAAAATAGTTGCCATTATTACAAGTGCCCCCAGTAAGAGCTTTGCGATTGGATGCACCCACTTTCTGGAAATTCTGAGTCTCTCCGTGTGCATTAATGGCCTGTGGGACGGTCCCCCATAAACCTCCTCTATGTCGGCGATGTGAAGATGCCCATGGAGAGAGAGATTGGTTACGGCCGGAATTAAAGCAAGCTCCTAATGTCTGCCAAGCGCACGCTTTGTGCACTTGTAAATGTGACCCTCTCCTAGACCATTTCGATCCTTGGTCGGGTCGATCAGACCTGGAAAGACTCATCAGCTGACCCGGGCAAGGATCATAATTCCACGGTAAAACAAAAAAACCCACGTGACCGGGATGATGGGTACGTCCATCTGATCCGGGAGATTTAGAGTGCAGTCTCATTTGTGTACAACTACCTCATTAAAGGCAAAGAAAAGATCGGCTGAATGGGTTGACTTTAAGGGTGACCTGCGTCCATGTCCAGCCTGCACACGCTAAAACTTCGGGTGTATTTGAGTGGGTAATCATGGAGATGGCTATTTGTGTCATGTGTCAAACGTGACACGTGAGTTTGGGGGCGAGGTTGCTTCTCAAATGCATCCAATGGTAATGGTCGTATGTGCTCAGTGTGAGCTGACCCCAGCCCATTTGTGCGACTGACTCTCTCCCTGCTGTACGACCCCTTCCTTGCTACTTTAAGGATCGACTGGCTAGGTGAGTGTAATGCGACGTGTACTTCTGATATAATTGGGCTTATACACATCAACCTGTTTCAGGATTTTAAAGTAATTGTCTTACATGACTCTTGAGTGGTCTTGCGAGCCGCCGTTTTCATGGCCGAGTTTAAATTGTTCCAAACCGAGAACTCCTGTGAGATTAAAGAACAAGAGGTTATGAGTATTTACAATAGTAACAAGTTGTCGTCATATTTATCATCGTCGTCCCAATTTGGCAGCTATAGCCTATTTTGTCGGTGTTTTTAGAAAGTGACAAAACCCGGAAAATCGAAAAAATTTTGATCTGGAGTTTATTCTACCATTTTACTTCCTTTGATCCAAAGAACAAATTAGCAGAGTTTCAAAGCAAATCGTTGTTTATTTTCCTAGTAAATGTAAACAAACAACCAACAGAGAGCTTAATCTCTGTGTTTCTCTGTTTGCACGAAGTGACAAAAAGTCACAACGTTTGCAGGGTAAAAATAGAGACAATACTCAATGCCTGCACAAGTGTGTGGGTGTACAGAATGCGTGGGAACGATGTTGCACATAAACACATTGGTGTGTGCAGGAATGTAACAGTTTTCTTCAAGCGCGTATTTTTTCACGAAGTGATAAATGTGTGTATAATGCAACGGGAAACAGTAATGACCTCGGGGTTTGTAAATCTTCAGAAACCTTGATTCGTTCATGGTTCTGCACCTTCAAAGGTACCATGTCACTCCCGTTTTTCAATTTTCGCCCGTTAGTCTTCCCGTTGGAATGAATAGAAAGAGAAGAGTGAAACTAGAAATTGTGCATAAAACTATCGTTAATGCTTTCACCACCAGTTTTAAGCAATCTCCGAAACCGAAAAAAGTTCGTCCTTTGTACTTTTGTAACCTTTGCTAGACCATTATTATTTCCTTGTTTTTATGGATAAAACTAGTAAGTGTTTACAATTGCAAATGATTGTTGTCAAAGACTGGTCAAAGCATCCTTAGAAGAGGAAGCAAATAAAATGTACAGTATTTATTAATGTAGTTTGGAACTAGGAAAAGTGGCATGTCCCAGTGAATTGTCTTGGCAGAATCACAATACAAGCAATTTCACCGATTTGAGGTCGTGACTTCGTCAGTAAAAGAGGATGACGTGTCGTTCACAAGTGCTGCCAAAGAATGGTGTTTACAGTACTGTATTGACGAAAAAAACTTCACTCCTTTTTTTCAAAATAGATTTCATGAATCAGAATCACTCCTGAAGCCCGCCACAAACAAGAGCTGTATCAATTACTGAACAAAACACGTCCTCGTTGATGGTTATTCGCCATTTTGCTGTCCGTGTACGCTCGATTTTTTCTTTCCGATTTCTGCCTCGCGAGCCAAGCCGTTTCACAAATAATCAGATAGAAATGCTATTTGTCTCAAGGTCAGGTGAGGAATAAAACGCAGCAGAAATGAGGTAATAATTAAATGTTTAACTATAAATTGTTTCTTTTACTGCAGGCATGTGTTAGTACAAATAGAAGTAAATACGTCGTGCTTGACTACACAGCCGAATGATTTTTTACAATAGGGCTTCCATTTTTGACAATAGGGCTTCCATTGTTTGTACGGGCGGCATTAGCCAGCATTGACTGAAGCTCATCTGTTGCCTACAAAGAAACTTCAACATGATGGATATTCATGTTGGCAGAAATTTCGATCCAAAAATTCTATTTGGTGAAGACAAAAGGTAGTATGAATAAAAACTATTATTTGCTTATACTACAAATTTGTTAGCATTTTAACTCGTGTTTGTACGAAAGATAACATCACGGCAAATGCTTTTACAATCCATAAGCAACTAACGTAAAACTAAACGACATTTAAAGAAGTCATGTGTTTCCAAAACGGGAACAAAACCCATGAAGGTCAACGAGTGGGAAACACAAACCTCTTAAGTTATCAGTGGGTTAAAAATAACAAAACTATTTATTTTTATGCTACCCGTCTATTTTGCACGCTTGTCAGACTAAACAATACCAATAATTACTACTCTCTCAGGTGCCATAAGCATTGCATACGTAGAGCCACTTCGACAGATTTGGCCGCAGCATCCACATCCGAGATAAAGCTGTCGAGATCGCCTGAAATAGAGGGCCACAGGACCTTGGCAGAAAGCAACAGTAGTGAGGAAATTTCTCTACGGCCCGTAAAAATGAAAATAATGATTTTGTTTGGGAATTTACGGTTAGAAAAAGATCATCAGGGGCATCGAGGGGCCAACATTCACAGCATAGTTTCACTTAATTTTTCAATGTAGGAACCATCCCAGAACTCGTCCGGGACCAATTGCGGGCAAGGTACTGGTGCAACATTTACTTGACCAGTAAGAAGCCATTCATTTATCCCGATAGAGTTCCAGAAACATTTTCATCAGCAACATGTCAACCGTGATCGACTCTCCACGTTAGGCCTTTGCACACAGCGGGTGGCTCCAGAAGAGTTGGTTGTGATTTCAAGAAGAGTGACCTTGTGTTACTCAACACAAGCTACTGACAGTGAGTCCACTGCGATGGTTAAACCTTGGTTTCTTATCTATGTTCAGAGGGGTAAACATGAAATACACGGTATTACTTGCTCACCTACAAAATCGTAGGTTTTATTTTGTAACATGAGTATGTACAAAGTATGGTGCTTTAATGTTCTTTTCTTTCACTTCATTTCGAAATTATAACTATAAACCGAAGCAAAGCATGAGGAAAATAAGAAAATAACTTCGAAGCACGGATTGGCAAATGACATTTAGGAACTATGCCTTGAAAAAACAAGGGAAAATGTACTCAACTGGTGTATATTAGAGAAAAAGTCCATGGAGAGCATTCTAAACCAGATGGTTATCATTAGGTCATTATATTAGCATTACTTCGAATACCAGTACAGTACACAATGCGTCCTTGAGTGCCCAGCATGGCCCAACCATACACCGCAGTGGGGGGGGGACATGTGTAAAGAAACTGATGGCTTCATTGCGGGAAGATTGTTGATAAGATTGTTATAAATTCCACAACTTAACCAGCTACAATGTCTGTAACCTATCGACAACTTATTCCGGACAAAATAAGATAACATTTTCTTTACGTTTTCCAAAACGCGAGCACTGTTAGGAATGAATAAAACACGATTAGATTTTTTTCCCTGCCCAATGACCAAATTGTCCATTAAAGTTTTGAAAGACCAGGAAACTGTCCGACTCCCTACCTGTGCTCAGCTTCCATAACAACGCGCACATTTTCCGAAAGTATTTTCAATAACATTACATGTGTCAAGTTGTGGTTAAGGTCAGTCAACGTTTGACTGGGCCCAGGTTATTACCAATTTAAATTGATCCCCTTCCAACCCCCCGTGCTAAGAAATGTAAAAAAAATGGATTGGAAAGCATTTTTAGTGGTCTCCTGGAGAGTGCAGGCCCAAAAATTCTTTTCCACACGATTGTCTTTCTCTCTTTTGATCATGCTGATGGTACGAAAACACCAATCAGGTCTGGGGACCAATACCCCATTTTCCCGCCCCATAGACTATTACACTTGAACATGCACGCGAAGAAAGAGCATGGTCGCGTGTTTTTCTTTTCACAATACGCATCGTACTTTCCTATTTGAAAATGGTTTTCTTGCCAGTCATGGAGGAGACTAGTCCGCAAGCTTAATATGAGCTTTCCTGTTGAAATTTCGATACGTCCATATGAAAAAACCTCCGGATTCACATATTGGAACGGGGAAATACATTTGTGGTACTGAAAAACATACGTTTGTGAAGGAAAATAAATGATCAATGTACAAAAAACCCTCTGCTGGAATTTTGCCTTAGCATATAAGCATAGTTTGCTAGGCTGTTGCATAAAACTAAGGGGCCCTTGATAACAACCACGATAGGACGATGCAGGAAAGGGCCTTAACAGGGAAGAGAACAAGTGCAGGGCATCGCCAGATTAATTAGCCATCTCGATTAACGGGTTTTAATAATTCCAGCAATGAATCAGTTGACCGACTACTGTACTTTCACTAGGTGTTCATATACAATGTCGTCATCTACTATGCCCTTACTAATTGATACATGAGGATTTTTACCATAGATACAGGAAAAACAATGCCAATGTAACATTACATGCTCTACCACCAGCTTTCAAAAAGTGCAGGGTAGAATGTAGTCCTCTAATTCATGTCACAATTTCTGCCCAGCTCATTTGCATAAAAACGCCCCCCCCCCCATTTGTTTTTAAAAATGAGATATTTTGGCACCCTATACGGTGACAGTAATTATTTGCTAGAATCAATTACTCCGTGGATCTTTGGGCTTGCATCTGAGGGCAAAATGAATGGATCCACAATTGGGTTGCCAAAAACTTTCTCAGCTCCCTATGGGAAGTAGAGGGATGCCAATTGAAAGAAAGCTGCATGCAGATTTCGAAACTATGAGCGGGTTTTTTTTAATTGACTAATTAAATTGCAGTCGGTTGTCTGCAAAAGTTTGAAAGGAACAGAAATATTCATGCCAAAAACGGCTTAATTAATGATTAAAGAAACTCCACGGGTGTTTGGATGCAGGTTACAGTCCTTGCACAATGTTAATTGGCTGTACAGTTTTTTCAATGCAGCTTGAATTGGTGGGCTGTTCCCTAGGCCCAAGTTTATTAGCCATATAAGGCAGAGAAGACATGGTGTTGTTTTACATAAATACATACATGGACCGGTACTTACCCTTTCCAGCCTGTCTGGCTAGCCAGTACAACGCCCCGCTGCCAATACCTCCACAGCCTACGACGATGCTGTCATAATATGGGGTCTCCATAGTCAGCGCTACTTTTAAGCAAAGGCCGTGAGGTCGTCAGTCAAAGATCAAAGTAGTGATTCCCCTAAAAATATAATAATACTCTTATGTGCATACGGAGTTTCATGTACATAGGTATGGCAGTGTGGAAGGCGGATTTCTGCCACGTCGGTACCTGTATTAAAGACACAGAGGTCTGATCGGTTGTGGAAATTCGTATCCAGCAGCATATGGTCGGTAACGTAGTCCCTACCCACCACTTCTGCTCGGTTTATGACTCGACCCCCCCCCCCATCTTGCGTTTTATTGCCAAATAAACAAAAGCAATATAACCAAGAACTGCACCTTGATCACGACATAATGAAACTGTTGCGCGTCTGCAAATTTCGATATCAAAATCTTTAAGACCTGCTGGTTTCATTTCTTTTCAATTAAACTTTTCTCCACTTAGGCCTATCTAAAGACCTTGGGCAACAGCAGCGTATCCTGCTTTTGGTGTTTGCGGGATTCAAAAGAGAATGCGTCTTCGGACGTGTTCAACAATATCAAAAGCCTGGTCGCCAATGTTGGGCATTTTTGCGAACTATAAAGTCCAAGGCAGGCGCCATCTGAGCTGGTTGAGTGTTAGGTCCACGGCTGATTTACGCGCGCATGATGACTATGAAAGAATTCTTAGAATTTTTATGTTTTTCTTTATTTATTGGTATACATAGACAGACAGCAGGAGCTGAAAGGCTAACTTAACAAAACAAATTAACATGCGGGCATAAATTACTCCATAAAAACAGTTAAAGTCGAAAGCAATGAGTAATTACAGATGAGTAGAATTGCTGGATGCAAATCTGAATATGGCAAAACTAGGCCCACATAAAAGAAATTCAATGAGAATTAGACAACCGTTAACCTCCTCCACATCTAACCTCATATGTTTCCGCAGCTCCATTTATTTCGCACGAATACTTTCAAAACGTGTTCTCGAGAGATGATAATAATCAGGACAAAATAAGGGCAACGAGGCACTCTCCATGGAAGTTAAAAAATGGACATCTTTTTTTGTAGTGTCAAAATAGCAGCAAAGCAGTTTGAGCGTTAGTGTAGAATGTTTTTTCCCTTATATATCAAGCTTCCCAGCGTCAACATGAAAATGTGAATGCGAAATAAAAAGGACTTTAATTTCTTCGCTGCCTCTGATTTCCCGGAAATGCTTTGAACAAGTACTAACAACAGTAATAGTTCAGTTAAAAAATGTCTTCACTCGAAATATTAGTCGAAACGTTAAAGAAGAATTACTGAGCACACTCTTGGTCTACGTTTTTCATTCAAAGTTTGTAAAGGCAAGCAACACACCTTCAAAAGAAGTGTGCCCCGCATTATCCACTTCAGAAGAGTAAAAACACTCTGAAAAAAAGAAAAAATAACTCTTAAGAGAGTCAAATCGGCTCGAAGAGATGACCAACAGATTGGTAGTGGAACTTCACGAACTATCCGAATACGCAGAACTGCAGTAGTCTGGAATCCAATTCCAGGTTTCGTTTCAATATCCTACAAAACATACTTTAATTGCTCACGAATTTGGGGGTAATTTGGTCAGATTCCAAAGGGCTACAAATTTTATGAGCATATGTAGCAGTGCTCAGGGCCGCTTCCCGAGGCACATTTATATTGTGTGTCGTTGATCTATATGTACCATAAAACGTAACGAATTCGAAATTTAATGGAGTCAGAGAAGATACTGTTGTTGATAGAACCCGCATTCCAATGACTTAAGTGGAAGATAAGCGTCATAGCACCTGAACAGCTACAAGCTTAATGAAGTACTCATTCGAGGATGCATGATACTCGCATTCGTCAACATGCGTGCCGGCCTTAATGTAACGAATAGGCCTTCACTGTACTTGAAATGTTTATGACTACACGTATCTTTACTGCAGGGCTGTTAAAATTAACTCCGTGTTGTAAAGAACAATAAAATTAATTATATGACGTACTTATGTAACATCGAATATTTCAAAGCGATATGTTTTACTTCGATGAACAACTGATCCAGTTAAGTGTATGGGTGCTTTTTTGCCTATCTATGGTGATACAGGTATGATTTCCCACCTGGAGTGACCTCTTGACAGTAGAAAATGAGATGTCCACTTTTGAACTTCAATGGAGAGTGCTTTGTTGCCCTTGTTTTGTCTTCATTGGCAGCCCTACACACTCTTCTTGAGTTTCTTATGATTGTGTCTTTCCATAGTACTGCACATTTTACTCGTGTAGGGTATTTGTTTACTTGTTTAACGTCTTTGTCATTCTTAACGAAAAACTATTCTGATTATTGTTATCTCTAGAGTACACGTTTTGAACTTATTCGTGCAAAATAATGGAGCAGCAGAAACAATAATATGAGGTTACATGTGGAGGTTTGCGGTTATTCAATTCTTACTGGATTTCCCTTACGTAGGCCTATTTGCCATTTTCATGTTTGCTTTCAGCAATTCCACTCATCTGTAATTGTTCTTTGCTTTCGACTTTATCTTGTTTTATGGATTAATTTATGCCTGCATGTTAATTTGTTTTGTTAAGTTAGCCTTCCAGCTTCTGCTGCGTCATCATGCCTGTCTTTGTATACCAATAAAGAAAAAAAGAAATGATAAAAGTCTAAGGATTCTTGGCCTTCACAGTCACTATGCGCGCGTAATTCAGCCATGGGCCCATTTACTCAACCAGAGAGTCAAAAGCAGTGAAAACATGAGGGGACCTCTTGGTCACCAAACACGACCGGGCCTTAGTCATATGTTTATTTCTTTTGACTCTCTGACTAAAAAAAAGTTTTCGCGGACATTTCGTTAGTCATGGCACGGCGTCTGGTGCCACGTTTGAGGGACGGAAGAAGAAACGTTACAGAACAAACAATATCTGCGAAGTAAGTCTCATCCTTCTGGAACAACGGAATCCGGGCAGAGAGGAGCATCAAGTCCCAGACCAGGATCCAGGTAGGGCAGGGGGCAGAGTGACTCGAGACAATCTGGCTCAATATCCAATAAATGTCAGTGGCATCAGTGTAGAGCGTCGAAAGCGCCTGCTCTTCGTTGTGGTCATTCTGACGGAGTAAATGCACATTATATTTTTGACACCCCTAGACGCCTGTGACATGTAGATTTTCAAACAACCCTTCCAGTCTGCTCTGTACATTCCCTTGCATTTAACTAAGACCGCACCAAATGCAGAGCAAGACCCCGAGCGTCGAGCGTGAGTACGTCTGACAGAAGTGGCGCCACCAGAAGCAGAACGTGCTGACGGGAGATGTAGTGTTGGCTCGAGGTAGTAACGCCGTTTGTGGCTACTGGGGAATGGGGATCGTAGATGAAGTCTACCTGACAAAGCCAGAAACGTGAGGAATGTACAGGTGAAGATGATATCTGATAAGTCGAGCCAGTGTAGAGGAGCCAGTTACAATTTCATTTGGCGAGCTGTCCAGAGGCTGATCGTTCTTGTTCCAGCAGACAGAGACGAGGGTTGAATTTGACATGACGGACTGAGACTTCTTGGTGGGCAGGGATAAAGCTTAGGTGTAAGCTTATTGTTTTCCCTTATCGTCTCAGACTAGCTAACTTGAAACGGCGCCCTCAGTGCTCAACGCAGTGCATAATTGATTGCAGGCAGATGCCCCGACACACGTGCTTTTCTCTTGTTTTTAATGTAAGCTAGGCGTTCTTGCTACATGTACATCACTGAAAATTTTATGTAGTCAATTAGCTAAAAATAGTCATGTCTACTGTCTTATTTGACCACTGAATAGACTGTCATGTATGGTAATTTCGACTAGATTCAATTAGTCATGAAAAAGTGTCTTATTTAACTAATTTCTCAAAATATGCACGAACATTGTTTAATAACGCACTGAAATGAATTAGCAGTGCAGAAAGATTAACTAGTAATACAGGAATTAATTAATAATGCAGGAAAGAGATGTACCTGCGTTGGGGAGATGTTAATTTAAATACCAAGTTCCATTATCGCCAACAAGATTAGTCAATGAGATCAATGGCAGTGCATTCTAAATGGGTCCAGTATTCACAGCAATCACAAAAATACCGTATCGATCATTTTTTCACGGGGTTACTGCAAACTTAACTTGCAAATCTAACTGGCGTATGTACAACGTACAGAAAAATTGCAAAGTGAGTTACTTATAGGGCTTATATGACAAATACGAAAGGAAACAAATTAACAAGCATTTAAGGACACACAGGTTACTAATAATTGAACGAACGTAACAAATCGACATAAACGATGTAGTTACAGAATTGGACGGTCAACTTACGATTCTCCTTGGAATCATGCCATTAACAGGTTATTAATGTGATTCAGGAAGACTGGATTTTTTTGTTCCATCTCAGTATGCCTTCTGCATGATGTCACGCAAGGATATTTTTTGCCATCAGCAGTGGGCATATCCCTTAGCACGGAGATTCCAGACTTTGCCAGGGATACATTCATGGCCTTGGCGCAATCTAGCACAGTTTGTCTTTCTGATTGGTACAAGAATTTCACCAAGATGTGCCATGGTTTATCTGATTCAGAATTGGGTGGTTTCTTTTTCGGGTGGCCTCCCGCTGGCCTGTTGTACTTGCCATTTTTGTGAGTTGTATCTTAAATTGGGATCCTAGGTCTTCGATTATAGACGCCGAGAAATTGAGTGACTCATCCATGGCCGCTTGCTTTTCTCGATCTCTGTCACTCTGCCGAGTAGAGATTCCTGGTTGATGAGGGCTTTATCGATCTCTGCATTTAGATCAGTAGCCAGGTAGCGGATTTCGCACTTCAGGCCATCAATGAACTCACCATCAAAGGTACATGTAGTTGACGAATTGTTTGTAGGGCCATCGGATGGTGGACTGATCGAGTCATCAGGTCCAGTTGAAGACAGTAAACTTCCTTTGTCTGCTAGTCTTGTCATGTCCATGTTGAGTTCCTCTAATTAATTTAACTTTGTCATACCAGCTGGCCACGTTAGAAGTGATTTTGAGGCGATTCCCGGGAGCGTATCAAATACACAAATTAGGATTTCATTATT